AGACTATAGACTAGACTATAGACTAGACTATAGACTAGACTATAGACTAGACTATAGACTAGACTATAGACTAGACTATAGACTAGACTATAGACTAGACTATAGACTAGACTATAGACTAGACTATAGACTAGACTATAGACTAGACTATAGACTAGACTATAGACTAGACTATAGACTAGACTATAGACTAGACTATAGACTAGACTATAGACTAGACTATAGACTAGACTATAGACTAGACTATAGACTAGACTATAGACTAGACTATAGACTAGACTATAGACTAGACTATAGACTAGACTATAGACTAGACTATAGAATAGACTATAGACTAGACTATAGACTAGACTATAGACTAGACTATAGAATAGACTATAGACTAGACTATAGACTAGACTATAGACTAGACTATAGACTAGACTATAGACTAGACTATAGACTAGACTATAGACTAGACTATAGACTAGACTATAGACTAGACTATAGACTAGACTATATAGTCTAGACTATAGACTAGACTATAGACTAGACTATAGACTAGACTATAGACTAGACTATAGACTAGACTATAGACTAGACTATAGACTAGACTAGACTAGACTATAGACTAGACTATATAGTCTAGACTATAGACTAGACTATAGACTAGACTATATAGTCTAGACTATAGACTAGACTATAGACTAGACTATAGACTAGACTATAGACTAGACTATATAGTCTAGACTATAGACTAGACTATAGACTAGACTATAGACTAGACTATAGACTAGACTATAGACTAGACTATATAGTCTAGACTATAGACTAGACTATAGACTAGACTATAGACTAGACTATAGACTAGACTATAGACTAGACTATAGACTAGACTATAGACTAGACTATAGACTAGACTATAGACTAGACTATAGACTAGACTATAGACTAGACTATAGACTAGACTATAGACTAGACTATAGACTAGACTATAGACTAGACTATAGACTAGACTATAGACTAGACTATAGACTAGACTATAGACTAGACTATAGACTAGACTATAGACTAGACTATAGACTAGACTATAGACTAGACTATAGACTAGACTATAGACTAGACTATAGACTAGACTATAGACTAGACTATAGACTAGACTATAGACTAGACTATAGACTAGACTATAGACTAGACTATAGACTAGACTATAGACTAAGACTAGACTAGACTAGACTATAGACTAGACTATAGACTAGACTATAGACTGACTATAGACTAGACTCTAGACTAGACTATAGACTAGGACTATAGACTAGACTATAGACTAGACTATAGACTAGACTATAAGACTTAGACTATAGACTAGACTATAGACTAGACTATAGACTAGACTATAGACTAGACTATAGACTAGACTATAGACTAGACTATAGACTAGACTATCGATAGACTAGGATAGACTAGAATATAGACTAGACTATAGACTAGACTATAGACTAGACTATAGACTAGACTATAGACTGACTATAGACTAGACTATAGACTAGATTATAGACTAGACTATAGACTAGGACTATAGATATTTTTATTCAATTACAACCAGAAATAAAGTATATTTTACATCACATACACACATATGTACATACATATTTATTAAACTAAGTAATTGGGGAATGATTTTGCTAAACACAAAAAATGTACCCTTCGCTTTTTGGACATAACACTTAATATTCGAACCTAACTCAGTATTCCGAGAATAAGATAAACGTATCTAGTTTGCACAAAATGATTGATGTTGTACAAATAGTAATAAGTATTGTACTCGTATTCGCATTCGCATTGTGTATTTCTGTAAATGACATTTGAAACCACTACCATTTCCTGCTTCAATTTTGAAAAAAAAATCAAATATGGAGGGAATTTTAGTTTGTTTGTACAAACATACCAGCAGCCTATTGCCCCATTTTTGAACTTTTCTAATGCTACTTCTACTACTCCTACTACCACTACACAGATTATAGTAACAATTTTTCGTAATTTATCTTGCGTTTGACAGATTACAACGTTAAAGAAAGAAATTTTGGGGGGCTGTAACAAAATTAGTGAGCGTGTTATTTTATTGCTATTTTCATTTTTATTTTTTTTAACAACAATTTTCATTTCGTACTGACATTTATCACATAGAAAAAGAGTGTAATTAACTTTTAATTGAAATTTAAGTTGTTAGATAATGAAATATTAAAGCAAACAGCAAAGGCGAATAATGACTAAAATGAGTAATTACACTTTCATTACACGAAAGGATATAAATGGACAAAAATGAATTTAATTGCTTTTGCATGATAATGGTGGTGGCAGGATTAGAACGTTTTAAACGTAAAAGTTGCACTAATATGAAAAAGTAACGGACAATTTTTTTGTTGTTTACGTTAGTTATTAGTAGTTTAAATGTTATAACTCAAAATTATCTAAGGGATATATGAGAATATATGTATGTATTAGATGTCATATTAAGTAATTGACTTTGAGTTTTACTTTTAGCATGTGCAGTTTAACGTAAATATTAAATGCTAATATTTGTTTGTGTAAATAAAAATAAAAATTAGGCAAAATTAATTTGAAATAGGCATCAAAATAGTCGCAATTTTCAACTTATATCGAAAAATTTTAAAAAAATTGTTTGGCTTTTTGGTTTGAACCTATTCAGAATTTTTGGGTTGGTTCAAAATTTCGAAAGTTTTGACTTAGTTAGTTAGTCAGTAGTTAGTTAGTTAGTTAGTTAGTTAGTTAGTTAGTTAGTTAGTTAGTTAGTTAGTAGTTAGTTAGTAGTTAGTTAGTTAGTTAGTTAGTTAGTTAGTAGTTAGTTAGTTAGTTAGTTAGTTAGTTAGTTAGTTAGTTAGTTAGTTAGTTAGTTAGTTAGTAGTTAGTTAGTTAGTTAGTTAGTTAGTTAGTTAGTAGTTAGTTAGTTAGTAGTTAGTTAGTTAGTTAGTTAGTTAGTTAGTTAGTTAGTTAGTTAGTTAGTTAGTTAGTTAGTTAGTTAGTTAGTTAGTTAGTTAGTTAGTTAGTTAGTTAGTTAGTTAGTTAGTTAGTTAGTTAGTTAGTTAGTTAGTTAGTTAGTTAGTTAGTTAGTTAGTTAGTTAGTTAGTTAGTTAGTTAGTTAGTTAGTTAGTTAGTTAGTTAGTTAGTAGTTAGTTAGTTAGTTAGTTAGTTAGTTAGTTAGTTAGTTAGTAGTTAGTTAGTAGTTAGTTAGTTAGTTAGTTAGTTAGTTAGTTAGTTAGTTAGTTAGTAGTTAGTAGTTAGTTAGTTAGTTAGTAGTTAGTTAGTTAGTTAGTTAGTTAGTTAGTTAGTTAGTTAGTTAGTTAGTAGTTAGTTAGTTAGTTAGTTAGTTAGTTAGTTAGTTAGTAGTAGTTAGTTAGTTAGTTAGTTAGTTAGTTAGTTAGTTAGTTAGTTAGTTAGTTAGTTAGTTAGTTAGTAGTTAGTTAGTTAGTTAGTTAGTTAGTTAGTTAGTTAGTTAGTTTAGTTAGTTAGTTAGTTAGTTAGTTAGTTAGTTAGTTAGTAGTTAGTTAGTTAGTTAGTTAGTTAGTAGTTAGTAGTTAGTTAGTTAGTAGTTAGTTAGTTAGTTAGTTAGTTAGTTAGTTAGTTAGTTAGTTAGTTAGTTAGTTAGTTAGTAGTTAGTTAGTAGTTAGTTAGTTAGTTAGTTAGTTAGTTAGTTAGTTAGTTAGTTAGTTAGTTAGTTAGTTAGTTAGTTAGTTAGTTAGTTAGTTAGTTAGTTAGTTAGTTAGTTAGTTAGTTAGTTAGTTAGTTAGTTAGTTAGTTAGTTAGTTAGTTAGTTAGTTAGTTAGTTAGTTAGTTAGTTAGTTAGTTAGTTAGTTAGTTAGTTAGTTAGTTAGTTAGGTTAGTAGTAGTTAGTTAGTTAGTTAGTTAGTTAGTTAGTTAGTAGTAGTTAGTTAGTTAGTTAGTTAGTTAGTTAGTTAGTAGTTAGTTAGTTAGTAGTTAGTTAGTTAGTTAGTTAGTTAGTTAGTTAGTTAGTTAGTAGTTAGTTAGTAGTAGTTAGTTAGTTAGTTAGTTAGTAGTTAGTTTGTTAGTTAGTTAGTTAGTTAGTTAGTTAGTTAGTTAGTTAGTTAGTTAGTCGTCCGCAACACTTCTCCTAATCTAAACTCTTTTTACAACATAAAGTAATTATTGAAAACTTATCACACTCATATTTCTAATTATGATTTTTCAAATTGTAAGAATCATTGTTTATTGCTCAGTCCAATCGAAATTATTAAAGCAATTATTAACAATATTTATTTTCACAATCACCCCCTGGAAATAATTATTATTTAGCCATTTACCAAACCTACATATATAATCTATACAAATTACAAAAATTAAGATAAATATTTATAAAGTAAATTCTATTTAAAATTTCTCCCACTATCAAATTACCAGCGCAAAAGATTTAATAAAATAATAAGTTCCACGAAAATGATTAATCTGTTATGACTTACAGCTAATAATGCTATGGATTACCTTCTTGGAAAAAAAAAATTGATTAAAAATTACTTTCTTGTCTGGGGTTTTTTTGCTGTTCAAACTTTACATTCGAATTTCGGCAATGATTACGTCAATGTAAATAATTAATTTGAATAATGCCAACATGTTACACCAAAGTGTTAATGAATTCAATTTATGGTATAAGATTTTGTTGCTTTCTTGTTTCTTAATTCTAAGGGAAAAGAAAAATAAAAGAAATTTTATTAATTTTTACCAATACCAACCAGACTTTTGTGTAACAATTGGCATTATCAAAGCTGTAAGAAAACTTTATTACAATTTATTTTTATTTTTTTTTTCAGAGAAGAAAAACACAATTTTCAATTTTAATTAAAATTTAGAAAAAAGTTTCTATTTTATTATTAAATTAATAATTATAAATATTTTTATGGGAAAAAGAAAAATTTATATTTTATTTTGTTTTTTAGTTATAACAAGTAATATAAAATAAAAAAAATTAATATTACCCAGCCAATGAATTAAATTGTTAATTTTATTAATAACAGAGAAATAAAATCAATATATTTACATAAATACTTATTAAAGCAATAATAAAAAAACATTTATGAAATATATAAGATGCTCTGAATGAAAACCAGTAAAAAGGAAGAAGAAAATTACAAATATATCTTCATTAATGCAATTGTTATGGTTCGTTTGTGTGTTAAGTGGGTTTGTTTATTTGGGCGGATTATTGGATTCTATTGTCTAAATTGATGGATGTCATGGCTTAATGGGTAAAACAAAATGTTTAAATACATACATATTTACATACATATATAGGAATCAAACAATGGCTTAGTTACAACAACTATGATTATAGACAAGTAGTTTATGTAATTTTAATTAGAGCCGATTTCTCAGGAACTCTAATAAAATGTTTGACGGACTTAGATATTAATGGTTAAAAAGCATTTAAAAGATTAATAAAAAATTTGAACTTTTTAGCTTGTTATTTCTCTGAAAGGTGAATTTAGTTGATTTTGGATAATTTGGCATTATGAGAGTCCATGAACCCAAATTTGCTGCAGTTTGAAGATGTTTTATTATGTTAGTTTATGGTACATATGGTGACGATTGTATGTTTTAGTTAGAACAGTTAAAATTAGTTTGAATTAGACTTCAGTGGATTTTTGATTTGATGGTGTAGGTGAGGCTGCATGAGGTGGTGAAGGTAAACCATTATCTTGCATTAAAGGAGAACTACAATAGGGGCCGGACGTATGGGAGTACCAACAGCTGGCATAGAGGAAGGAGGTCGGCTAAAGAATTGACTGTTGGCATTGGGCAAAACAGGGACACCGCCATAACGTGTTTGAGCGGGAGCATTGGGCATATAACTCATAGAACTTTCACCACTATTGCGACTATCGGCACCACTAAATGTAGGACTATATTGTTGTTGAGGCTGGGTCTGAGCCATAGGCACACCATGCACATCGTGATCATCTACTTCCGGTGAGGGTGGTTGATGATAACCGGCGGGATGTATATTGCCCACGCCTTCATGTTCCTCAGCTTCCTGACCATGTTCGTCATGTTCATCTACTGGCGAACCGGCCCCCATTTTATCCAAATCCGTTCCAGAGGCAGCACGCAGCGAACGTCTTCCCATTTGTTTGGGTTTCTCACCTGTTTTATTAATGTATTCAATATCCTTAGCTAATTTTGTATCTTTATTTTCACTACCTTCTGATGATGTCACATCCTCGTCATCCAGATCCCATTTTTTAGCTGGAAAGTCAATACGGGGTTTTCCCGGTAGTGGTTCATTCGTACGATAAACTTTATCATATGACCTACTTTTCTTTAAAGTTCCAGTATTATCCGTATCGCTATCATCATCCAATCCTGTACCCAAAGTTCTCAAATTGGTGCGCGAAGAGGCTCTCGAGCGCGGCATAGTCATCTGCCATTGAGGATCTTCCTTCAGCTGCTTCTGGCGATAGCGATACACACCACAAACAATGCACAACATAAGCGGTAGTATAACAGCCAAGATAATGCCAATTGCTATAAAAGCTACACGTCTGGTATAGTAAACCTCACCTAAACATTCAACAAGAAAAATAAAAAAGACACATAAAAAGTGTGTAAAAAAACTAACCGAAAAAAAACAAAACATTAAATTGATTAACTGTGTGTTTTACTAGAACGAAGACATTCTTACAACTATTACGTCTATTAAAAACAACTTACGTAAACATTCGGTATAACCATATTCGGGCAAATTCCATAAACCATTCGATAAACATTCACGTCTTTGATCACCAATCAAAACGAAACCTTCATTACACTCAAAGGACACTTTGGCGCCAGGCATAAAATTGAATGATAATTTACGACCGAAACGTGGCGTTTCTAGAACTCCACACGACACCACACGTCTATTAAGGTGAAAAAAGTAAATAAATATTGTATTGAAAAAAAAAACTTACATACATTTTACTTAATAAAGACAGTAATAAATACAAGAATAAATAAACAATCAAATAAATAAAGAAATAGGAAAATAAACAACTCTTAAATTGTTTTAGGGCAATAAAAGGAAAAGTTTTTTTTTTCATTTTTTAATGAATAAAAGTTTAGGCAGATTTTTTTTTGCTCAATAAAATAAATGTTTTTTTGGAGAAGAGATAAAGTACTTTCTTTCTTATTTATCATACTTTTGAAGCTTTTAAAAAGCTAAAATTCTCAAAGCTCCAAGTTTCCTTAAATTATTCACTTAACACATCAATACTTACTCTGAATTCAAGGTTCTTATGTTCACCAAACTGTCATAGTAATTCTTGGTGAAATGAGCCAATCTCGATTTAACGTCATGCCATAATCATAGCGACACTGATAACTTTCACCACACAGCTCTTCAGCTCTCTCTATGTCATACGAACGATTCGAGGGTAGGAAATCTTGTGGCTCTCGTTGATAATTCGGAACAAATGAGGCATTCGAATAATAACTAGCAGTACGGCCAAATTCTCGTGTAAAGAGAGCAGCACCCAAACCAGGTAAATCACGATCAGCTAAAGCCCATTTCATGGCCCATTGATTATGTATCATCTTAAAGTCTTTGGTATTAGGATCTAAGTTTAATACTTGGCCATTGGGTAAAGTAAAATCGTCCAGGGATTAAAACTCCAATTACCAAACAGGCCAGCCGTTTTATTCTATAACAAAAACATATTATTTAGCAAAACTAAAAGTTAAATCATCAATTTAAACTCACTATAAACTGCCAGGGCAAATAAACTCTACCCGTCATATAACCCTCATTTTCAATTACTTCTACACCAATACCGGAATCAAACATAACAATGACCTGCGACTGATTGAGCAAATAAGTGGGTGTGTAGACGGTAACACCATCAAAATGTTGGAATTTCAAACTTTCACGATCAAAGTAAACACGACGACCATCGGCCAATACATCCATCCGATAACGCCAGCGAGCATGTTGAGGACGTATGCGTACCTCAATTGTGGTGGTAGTATTACCACGCATAGCCAGGGCAGTCAATTGAGTGGCCGGCACAGCACCATACATATTATTGGGCATTTGCTCAAAACGTCCCTGCACCTCGAAACGTTGATCGGCATCTACACTACGTGATAAAACAAATTCACCCAAACCATTGAAAGTATATTGAGTACCATCGAATGTTATGAAATGAGGATCACCAAAAACACCAGCTACACCAGGAGCCTGATAGGCCACACAATCCTGAGAGGGACGACGTTCAAAGCGATAGGTTTCACAACCCACTGCCTGTTCGTGTTGCCACATGCAGCAGGTGTAGAAAGGACGCATATCATGGAACCATGTAGACAAAGTAGGCACTTTACTAGCTTCATTCCAAGGCATTTTACCCAAGTTGTGTATACGTCTAGGGCGAGAACCCCACATTTGATCATAGGTCAACATAAGAAAACCATAACGATCATAGCAGCATTGTTGTTCAGCACCTTGGGCACTAAATAGAAAAAAGTTACAATAAGCAGAAGATAATTAAACCCAAAAGTTTAAACATTTGTTTTCTTATTTAACTTTCAACTCATACTTACGTGGGTGTACCGCTAACAACACAATGTATGGCTCCCTTGTGACGCAGACAAGTTGGATTGGAATCTTTGTCACACTCACGATCTGGCCTATAACGACCCTTGTCATAAATAGCCTGTTCCATGGTACAAGGACACAAAGGTAAGTCAGCAGCAAAATTTCTAAAAAACATCGACAGCAATGAAATTTTATAATAAAAAAAAACAACAAACAATAAAATACAAATGTTAATATAAATCAATAATGTGCATAATAAAAGAATTTAATTTTATTTTTGTTTTGTTTCGGTTTTTTGTTGCCACAACTTTTTATAGTGATTTTTAAACAACTCAAACAATTAAAATATAAATTTTATGGCTTAATGCCAAACACACACAGTTTTTAATACCACTACCATAATCGTGTATTTAAGCATGTGTGTGTTTAATATGGGTCTGAGGGTTTTATACTTTTCTACTAATAATTGACAGTTGTAACTACCACAAAAAAGGAATACCCAGGGAATGTTCTATATTAAAGCAACAATATTGTAAGCAAAATTATCAAAAGTAACAGTTGTAACAGCAACAACAACAACTGCTGAACAAAACCCCATAAAACTACGAAAAAGAACAATTTATCGTAACACATTTTAATTAGCAAAACTTGCATAGACATGTGTGTATTAAGGGGGTATAACTTTTGGTTAAGAAAATTAAATTCTTATTTACAGGAGATTTTGATTTAAATAATTTATAAATGAAATCATTCTTTTAGTGATATCATAATGAAATTTGGTTACATCCCTAATGAGAACATTACTTGTACAGTGCTCGTTCATAAACATGAGTTTTCGCTTATATAGTGAAGGAAAAATTATAAAATTTTAAAATATTTTTTAAAGTACTTTCTGAGATAGAAAAAATGGAACTTTGCAATAATTTTTCTTTTAATGAATCAATCTTTAAATAGAATCTTACATAAATCCATTATATTAAAATAATTTTTCTTAAATTCTGCTTAATCAATTTTCAATTTCATGATCATTTTTATTTTTAAACAAAATTTTGAATAAATTTTTATTAAATTTCAAATAATTTTTAAAATTAAAATTTGATGAAATTTCTCTTTGAAAAAAACTTGCCATAAATTTTCTCTCTAAAGAAAGTTTTCTATAAAGCTTCTCTTTAAAGCAAAATTTCTATAAAATTTGTCTTTTTCTTCATAAAGAAAAAATTTCCCTAAAGTTTCTTTTAAAGTAAATTTTTGATAAATTTTCTCTTCTCTAAAAGTTTTCTTTAAATCTCTCTTTAAAGAAAATTTTCAATAAATTTTCTCTTTTTTTGATAAATTTTCCCTTTAAGAAATTTTCTTATAAAGGAATTTTTCAACAAATTTTCTATAAACTTTTTCTATATAAAAAATTTCTATAAATATTTCCTGTAAAGAAAATTTTCAAAATTTCAAATTTTCAAAATTTTCTCTTTAGAAAATTTTCGCTAAATATTCTTTTTAGAAAAAATCACTCTTTAAAGAAAATTTTCAATAAATTTTCTCTTTTTTCGATACATTTTCCCTTTAAGAGATTTTCTCATTAAAGAGACTTGTTATAAAATCTCTCTTTGATGAAAATTTTCAATAATTTTTTTTTCAATAAATTTTCCTTTTAAGAGATTTTCTCATTAAAGGAATTTTTCCATAAATTTTCTATAGACTTTTTCTATAAATTTTTTTCCATAAAAAATTTTCAATGAATTTTCTCTTTAGAAAAATATCCGATAATAAATTTTCACTATAAATTTTTTCTTCGAAGAATATTTAAGATAAATTTTCTCTTTAGAAAAAATGTCTGATAAATTGTTTCCTTAGAAAAAGTCACCGATAAATTTTCTATTTAAAGAAAATTTTCTCTTTAGAAAAAAACGAAAATTTTCTCTACAAATTTCTCTTTAAAGAAAATTTCTATATATTTTTTCTTCGAAGAAAATTTACGACAAATATTTACTTTAGAAAAAATGTTGGATAAACTCTTTCCTTAGAAGTTGTCTTCGATCAGTTTTCTCTTTAAATAAAATTTTCAATAAAAAACGTCGGATAAATTCCTTCTTTTAAAAAATTTCCAATAATCTCTTTAAAGAAAAGTTTTTATAAATTTTCTCTTTTAAGAAAATATTCGAAAAATTTCCCATAAAATTTCTTTTTTTCAGAATGTTTTTCTTTAGAAAAAAATTACGATAAATTTTTAATTTAACCAAAATTTTCGAAAAATCTCCAAGAAATTTTCTATTTAGAAAAAAAAATTCGGTAAATTTGCTCTAAGAGTAAATTTTAATAAATCAATCAATCTCAATCTTTACAAAGAATTTATGAAAAATTATAAAGAACTTTCTTTACAGAGAAACGGTCTCCTTAAGATAAAATTTTCTTTTGAGAAAATTTGTTAAATAATTTCTATTTTTAAGGAAAGTATTTACAAAAGACTCTTAGCAAAATTGGGATTTTTTTTATTTAATTAACTTTTCCGATAAACTATCTGTTTAAAAGAATTTAATTATTTCTTATCTATAAGAAAATCGAAAAAATATTATTAAAGTTTATTCCGTTTAAGGAACAATTTTAAGAAATTTTCTATCTCTAGCAATTTTTTGCAAAACTGCCAACACTACTACTCACATTCCTTATTTCTTTCACACGTTAAAGCGCAATAAATAAGCAAACTATAAACGTATGAGAGAGAGAGTATTACCATAAAATTTGTGGTTAACATGCTTATAAATACACACACATACATATGTTTGTTTTTGTTAAAACTACTGATGTTCTTATTACCGTATACATTATCGGAAAAGTACGTAAAAAAAACAACAAAATGAAACAGGAAACAAAAGAGTGCAACTGTATAAAGAGAAAAAAGAAACAAAAGCTTTACTGCTTACTTACCTAAGATATCTATCGGTACGTATCCAATTATCGCACAATGCTCTGGGCCATTTATAACCAAATTTACGCTCCCATTGCGGTTTGAAATACCAACCCAATGGTATGGGTTTCGACCATAAAATACTGTAAATATTTAAAAATTTTATAGATATATTTGGAATGATATAGCTCTGGTACAGTTTAATTTGTGGGTAAGTTATTAAAATAATAAAAAATATGGTAATAAGTATAAGATGTGAGGTGAGGTAGAGTTTGTTAATTAAAATTTTATGATTTTAAAAATATTACTTTTATGGTATAGTTATTAGTAGGAGAAAATTAAATTAAAAAAAAATCTCTTGAATTAAATATTTATTGTGTCTGCCACAAAATTTGTACCCTTAAGATTAAAATTAATGAAAAATCACTTACATATGAGTAAACTGTTGTGTATAATTAAAGTTTTACTATTGATTTATTGAAAATAGTAATTTTACGCATCAGGGTTATCTTTATTTTTCACTGCAACGGTGATTATAAATTTAATTAAATGCTTTTCAAAGAAACAACATTGCGGTGGTGCGTATGATTTATAATTAATTTTAATACAAATTAAATAACAATCATACGCTTCAAGGTCATTCTTTGTGAATTTTTTTGCTTTTTAAATTAAACTGTTAAAATTTTAATTAAATTCCTTCAATAGGCTAGACGCCAAAAATATACCTTAATAAATAAATATAATGTAAAACATTAAAAAAATACTTAATTTACGTCTCTGTCTTTGGATTTTTATTAAACCTTAATCATCTTTAACAGGTTTACACATACTACACGCAATTTTCAGCTGTATTAGCGCTATACTTCCATACTTAAATATAATTATTGTTAAATAAAATGAAAATCTTTTAATATCATTCACAACGAAAAGCCAATGAATAGACCAAGTCACGCATACTTAACCTCTGGACCATTGGTTTTCTAGTTCATACCACTAGATGGTCGTTTAACATTAAACTTATAACGCCTACATTTAGGAAAAATAATGCTAATGACACCCAAAGGTAACACTATAATGACGCAAAGAAACCAATACAAAGGAAAACTGGGAACCTAGGCATATATTTATGCCACAACCTTAAGCATCCTTATTTCTAAAGCACAACAACAAAAACAAATAAATCCTCTCAATTCAAGGATGCCCAGAAATCAACATCATTTTATAATGCGGTGCTAAATGGTATTAACGCAACAACGACTAACAAGTAGCATGAGTTTCGAGAGAAAAAAATACAAATTCAAGACAAAAATCTAAAAAAAAAAGAATTTAAAATGACAATGTACCCTATAGAAGAGAGAATTGCTGCTGTTCAACATCAACCAACTACAAAGAATGTGGAAAATGTGAAAACATTTTAATGGCTTCAGTATTTGAACAGAAAAGTTCTTTAATTAAACACCTATAAAGGTGAAAAACACGCAAATATATAAAATCGTATAAATGAAAAGGAGCAAGAATTTATGACGTCTACAGAACTAATACACAAATACTTGTCTTTTTTTATGGTATAATTATAATATAAAATATTTAAATTTATTACAACTTTGTTAATACTTATTAGGGAATTGCGCAATGAAGAAGGTGGAGTAATAGCCATTTAGAAGTACTTAACATCAACTACAACAATTTATTCGAAAAATATCACAAGTTGTGCCATCAAGAGGAAATAAAAACCAAATACTATGAGATGTAGAAAAAGAATTCTACTTTCTGTTTTACTTTTTTGAAGGCTTTAAACAAATACCAAATAAAGGAATTGTTAATTTATATTATAATATAAAATTTTCGTTAATTTCTCTCTTTAACAAGAGCAAATTTTTAATCATTTTAGATAATTTATCCAAAACACCTTTTTAAGAAAAGGACACTAAAACACCTAAGATGGTACCCAAAGCACACAGGTAAGATATATGTATATAGCTTCAATCCAGGAACCTTGAACTATACGCAACAAGTTTTTTGGATTAAATCGCGTAAATTTCCAACATTTCTATGCAGATACAGAGTCTCACACTTATGTTTTCTCCTCTCAGCAGGATCATCCACATCGGATGCAACGGTACTGAAGCAAGTTCGTGGCAACATATACCTTGTATCTGTTTACCTGCCCACCGATTCTTCAAAACTACAACCAACTAATGAAACTTTTTGAAGAGGCACAAAGGAAAACTAAGAAAATTGTAATAGATTGTGACGCCAACTCCCTCCATGTAACTTGGGGTGGTACAAACACTAATCGCAGAGGATAAGCCCTCATGGATTTCCTTAATACTACAGACTTGATCGCATTGAACTTAGGTAATAAAGCTACTTTCGTCAATAGAAGCAGAAAGAAGTATGAGATATAACTATATATTCAAAAGAGCTTATAAACGAAATTCAGGATTGGAGAGTTTCGGACGAGCACTCCTTTTCTGACATCGGTACATAAGATTCAAAATATACGGCCGCCACCAAACTGCAAATTTCTCTTTTTTAGAGAATTTATGGAAATAGAGAATTCAGTTCAGTTCTAGTTCAGTTCTAGTTCAGTTCTAGTTCAGTTCTATAGTCAGTTCTAGTTCAGTTCTAGTTCAGTTCTAGTTCAGTTCTAGTTCAGTTCTAGTTTCAGTTCTAGTCAGTTCTAGTTCAGTCTAGTTCAGTTCTAGTTCAGTCTAGTTCAGTTTAGTTCAGTTCTAGTTTCAGTTCTAGTTCAGTTCTAGTTCAGTTCTGTTCAGTTCTAGTCAGTTCTAGTTCAGTTCTAGTTCAGTTCTAGTTCCGTTCTAGTTCAGTTCTAGTTCAGTTCTAGTTCAGTCTAGTTCAGTTCTAGTTCAGTTCTAGTTCAGTTCTAGTTCAGTTCTAGTTCAGTTCTAGTTCAGTTCTAGTTCAGTTCAGTTCTAGTTCAGTTCTAGTTCAGTTCTAGTTCAGTTCTAGTTCAGTTCTAGTTCAGTTCTAGTTCAGTTCTAGTTCAGTTCTAGTTCAGTTCTAGTTCAGTTCTAGTTCAGTTCTAGTTCAGTTCTAGTTCAGTTCTAGTTCAGTTCTAGTTCAGTTCTAGTTCAGTTCTAGTTCAGTTCTAGTTCAGTTCTAGTTCAGTTCTAGTTCAGTTCTAGTTCAGTTTTAGTTCAGTTTTAGTTCAGTTTTAGTTCAGTTCTAGTTCAGTTCTAGTTCAGTTCTAGTTCAGTTCTAGTTCAGTTCTAGTTCAGTTCTAGTTCAGTTCTAGTTCAGTTCTAGTTCAGTTCTAGTTCAGTTCTAGTTCAGTTCTAGTTCAGTTCTAGTTCAGTTCTAGTTCAGTTCTAGTTCAGTTCTAGTTCAGTTCTAGTTCAGTTCTAGTTCAGTTCTAGTTCAGTTCTAGTTCAGTTCTAGTTCAGTTCTAGTTCAGTTCTAGTTCAGTTCTAGTTCAGTTCTAGTTCAGTTCTAGTTCAGTTCTAGTTCAGTTCTAGTTCAGTTCTAGTTCAGTTCTAGTTCAGTTCTAGTTCAGTTCTAGTTCAGTTCTAGTTCAGTTCTAGTTCAGTTCTAGTTCAGTTCTAGTTCAGTTCTAGTTCAGTTCTAGTTCAGTTCTAGTTCAGTTCTAGTTCAGTTCTAGTTCAGTTCTAGTTCAGTTCTAGTTCAGTTCTAGTTCAGTTCAAGTTCAGTTCTAGTTCAGTTCTAGTTCAGTTCTAGTTCAGTTCTAGTTCAGTTCTAGTTCAGTTCTAGTTCAGTTTTAGTTCAGTTTTAGTTCAGTTCTAGTTCAGTTCTAGTTCAGTTCTAGTTCAGTTCTAGTTCAGTTCTAGTTCAGTTCTAGTTCAGTTCTAGTTCAGTTCTAGTACAGTTCTAGTTCAGTTCTAGTTCAGTTCTAGTTCAATTCTAGTTCAAATTTAATTATTTTTTAGTTCAGTTCTAGTTCAGTTCTAGTTCAGTTCTAGTTCAGTTCTAGTTCAGTTCTAGTTCAGTTCTAGTTCAGTTCTAGTTCAGTTCTAGTTCAGTTCTAGTTCAGTTCTAGTTCAGTTCTAGTTCAGTTCTAGTTCAGTTCTAGTTCAGTTCTAGTCAGTTCTAGTTCAGTTCTAGTTCAGTTCTAGTTCAGTTCTAGTTCAGTTCTAGTTCAGTTTCTAGTTCAGTTCTAGTTCAGTTCTAGTTCAGTTCTAGTTCAGTTCTAGTTCAGTTCTAGTTCAGTTCTAGTTCAGTTCTAGTTCATTCTAGTCAGTTCTAGTTCAGTTCTAGTTCAGTTCTAGTTCATCTAGTTCAGTTCTAGTTCAGTTCTAGTTCAGTTCTAGTTCAGTTCTAGTTCAGTTCTAGTTCAGTTCTAGTTCAGTTCTAGTTCGTTCTAGTTCAGTTCTAGTTCAGTTCTAGTCAGTTCTAGTTCAGTTCTAGTTCAGTTCTAGTTCAGTTCTAGTTCAGTTCTAGTTCAGTTCTAGTTCAGTTCTAGTTCAGTTCTAGTTCAGTTCTAGTTCAGTTCTAGTTCAGTTCTAGTTCAGTTCTAGTTCAGTTCTAGTTCAGTTCTAGTTCAGTTCTAGTTCAGTTCTAGTTCAGTTCTAGTTCAGTTCTAGTTTTCTAGTTCAGTTCTAGTCAGTTCTAGTTCAGTTCTAGTTCAGTTCTAGTTCAGTTCTAGTTCAGTTTTAGTTCAGTTTTAGTTCAGTTCTAGTTCAGTTCTAGTTCAGTTCTGTTCAGTTCTAGTTCAGTTCTAGTACAGTTCTAGTTCTCTAGTTCAGTTCTAGTTCAGTTCTAGTTCAGTTCTAGTTCAATTCTAGTTCAAATTTAATTATTTTTTAGTTCAGTTCTAGTTCAGTTTAGTTCAGTCTAGTTCAGTTCTAGTTCAGTTCTAGTTCAGTTTTAGTTCAGTTCTAGTTCAGTTCTAGTTCAGTTCTAGTTCAGTTCTAGTTCAGTTCTAGTTCAGTTCTAGTTCAGTTCTAGTTCAGTTCTAGTTCAGTTCTAGTTCAGTTCTAGTTCAGTTCTAGTTCAGTTCTAGTTCAGTTCTAGTTCAGTTCTAGTTCAGTTCTAGTTCAGTTCTAGTTCAGTTCTAGTTCAGTTCTAGTTCAGTTCTAGTTCAGTTCTAGTTCAGTTCTAGTTCAGTTCTAGTTCAGTTCTAGTTCAGTTCTAGTTCAGTTCTAGTTCAGTTCTAGTTCAGTTCTAGTTCAGTTCTAGTTTCAGTTCTAGTTCAGTTCTAGTTCAGTTCTAGTTCTAGTTCAGTTTCTAGTTCTAGTTCAGTTCTAGTTCAGTTCTAGTTCAGTTCTAGTTCAGTTCTAGTTCAGTTCTAGTTCAGTTCTAGTTCAGTTCTAGTTCAGTTCTAGTTCAGTTCTAGTTCAGTTCTAGTTCAGTTTCTAGTTCAGTTCTAGTTCAGTTCTAGTTTCAGTTCTAGTTCAGTTCTAGTTCAGTTCTAGTTCAGTTCTAGTTCAGTTCTAGTTCAGTTCTAGTTCAGTTTTAGTTCAGTTTTAGTTCAGTTATAGTTTTCTAGTTCAGTTCTAGTTCAGTTCTAGTTCAGTTCTAGTTCAGTTCTAGTTCAGTTCTAATTCAGTTCTAGTTCAGTTCTAGTTCAGTTCTAGTTCAGTTCTAGTTCAGTTCTAGTTCAGTTCTAGTTCAGTTCTAGTTCAGTTCTAGTTCAGTTCTAGTTCAGTTCTAGTACAGTTCTAGTTCAGTTCTAGTTCAGTTCTAGTTCAATTCTAGTTCAAATTTAATTATTTTTTAAGCAATTTCCTTAAAATGTATTTTTAGAGAATTTCTCAAAATTCTCTTTTTATGTAGAACTTCCTCAAAATCTCTTTTTGCTTAACTTTCTCTTTGAAAAAAGAAGTTTTTACAAAGTTCTTAAAAAATATTGGATAAATTTCCTTTTTATTTGCGAACTTGCCAAAAATCGACAATAATTTTGTATAAATTATCTCTTCAAGGGAAATTTTTCATAAATTTTCTATTTAAGAGAAAATTTTATAAAGATTATAGAAATATATTGTTTAAATTATCTATTTATTTACAATTTTCGATCTATCTCTTGCTGTTTTAAAAAACTGCTTTATTTTAATCTAAAAAACCATTTAGTTTTTACCATTATTTCTTCTCCATTCATCAAAATTACTTGTCATAAGCTGAAAACATAGTAAAATGTATATTTGCACTATACATCCATGAATAGTTTGTTTAAAGCTATAATGCAAGAACACACAATATTAAGTACTTGACATTTGCATAGTTCATCCTAGAAATTCACTTACTCCTCAATACACTTTAATTTAATATAACAAATACTTCTTACTACTTTACAAGTGATAAAAGTTCTCCTCGACTCTCTATACTACTTGCTATTACAACCTACGCGGTGCAGTGGATTTATATTATTTCCACTTTTCTTTCAAATGACGCATTTTCTCTTTAGTTTAGATTATAATACTTTTTCTACTTTCTGTTCGGTTCGTTTTTATATTGTATTTAACTATTTGCTTTTTACACACAATTGATTTAAAATTGAATTATTTCTCGATGAGATCTACAAAATAAAATAAAATATAAAGTACTTGCCAATGAAAATGAATAGAAATAACAAAACGTTTCGTTTCATTACATCTGTATGCAAAAAAATAAACTAGGAAAAACAGACAATGAATATACGACAAACTACTTACAGTAGTAAGAGGAATAGCAAAGACAAAAATTAGAAAACCAGACTTTTTAAACAATACCCTATAAGTTTCATCTAACTAAAATTAAATTAGTATTTATGTATGATACATTCTGATACCTGAAGATAGTTTGCATCTTATAAAAATTAAAATAATATATTTCTTACTTATAAACTTCACCCATTACCTACTGTAGAGTATCATAATGTTGTAAAATTAAATGTTTATTTTTTCACTTTAAGTCTTTGCAAAATTTTCGAAAATACTTCAACAACATCGTTGCAATAAAAGTACCAACCAGTACACACAGTGTTAGTGACTGTTGTAATGATGAAATAGAAATTCAAGGATACGTATACAAGACAAATGGTATGGATGGTTGTTTGTTTTTAATAAATAAAACCTCATATAACTGCGTATGTAATATTTGTTCCGGCTTATTGAAAATATTAAAAAAAACTGTCGTTATTGGTATTTTCCATTTCTTTGCAATCAAGTTGTTTGAAATTGCTTTTCTGCTTTTTTTTTAACAGGTTGTTTTAATTGAATGCATTTTCATTGCAAAAATACTTACATATGTATGTGTAATGATTAGAATTTTTACACAATTTACTGAATGTTATAGAAATGTAATTAGTGTTTTGCTAGGATTGCGGTTATTGATTACTTCACTTGTGTGAGTATATCGAGCCTATATTCAAAAAGTGCTAACTCATTTTTGGGCAAAATTTATTTTTCAAGTCAAATGATTTTTGAGTCAGGTTTTGTTATCTCAAAGTATCATTTAGGAAGGAAGTGTTATATATTTGTATATCATATTTAGTTCGTTAGTTAGTTAGTTAGTTAGTTTTAGTTAGTTAGTTAGTTAGTTAGTTAGTTAGTTAGTTAGTTAGTTAGTTAGTTAGTTAGTTTAGTTTGTTTGTTAGTTAGTTAGTTAGTTAGTTCGTTCGTTCGTTAGTTCGTTCGTTCGTTCGTTCGTTTTCGTTCGTTCTTTCGTTATTTCTTTTCGTTCGTTCGTTAGTTTCGTTCGTTCGTTCGTTCGTTCGTTCTTCGTTCGTTCGTTGTTCGTTAGTTCGTTCGTTCGTTCGTTCGTTAGTTCGTTCGTTCGTTCGTTCGTTTTCGTTCGTTCGTTTGTTCGTTCTTTCGTTTCTTCGTTCGTTCGTTCGTTCGTTCGTTTCGTTCGTTCGTTCGTTCGTTTCGTTCGTTCGTTCGTTCGTTCGTTCGTTCGTTCGTTCGTTCGTTCGTTCGTTCGTTCTTTTCGTTCGTTCGTTCTTCGTTCGTTCGTTCGTTCGTTCGTTCGTTCGTTTGTTCGTTCGTTCGTTCGTTCGTTCGTTTCGTTCGTTTTCGTTTTCGTTTCGTTAGTTAGTTAGTTAGTTAGTTAGTTAGTTAGTTAGTTAGTTAGTTAGTTAGTTAGTTAGTTAGTTAGTTAGTTAGTTAGTTAGTTAGTTAGTTAGTTAGTTAGTTAGTTAGTTAGTTAGTTAGTTAGTTAGTTAGTTAGTTAGTTAGTTAGTTAGTTAGTTAGTTAGTTAGTTAGTTAGTTAGTTAGTTAGTTAGTTAGTTAGTTAGTTAGTTAGTTAGTTAGTTAGTTAGTTAGTTAGTTAGTTAGTTAGTTAGTTAGTTAGTTAGTTAGTTAGTTAGTTAGTTAGTTAGTTAGTTAGTTAGTTAGTTAGTTAGTAGTTAGTTAGTTAGTTAGTTAGTAGTTAGTTAGTTAGTTAGTTAGTTAGTTAGTTAGTTAGTTAGTAGTTAGTAGTTAGTTAGTTAGTTAGTTAGTTAGTTAGTTAGTTAGTTAGTTAGTTAGTTAGTTAGTTAGTAGTTAGTTAGTTAGATCTCGGGTTTGCCAGAGTACTCATTTTTTGAATATTGTGTATAGTGTCGATATACCTGGAATACCTGGTTTATCAAACTGTTTTTACGTTAGTGGTATGTGGACAGTGTCAAAAGTACCAAGAAATGTAATCGGTAGACCGAAGTACGAATCTATCAAATAAGTCAAAGACCAGTTCTTACTAATAGGGGACACATTTTTGTAAGTTTGGTATTTTTATACCCGGACAAAAAAAAGGGAATCTTATCAATAATACTTCTGTAGGAGTAGGATATCATTACAACCCATTACAGATCCCTTTCAGCTGACACATTCCAGAGAAAACTCATGCAACACATTCGTTCTTTAGAATCGGACTGATTCCCAACAGTTTCAGAATTTTTCCTCTGAGGAGTCTTCCTTTTAATTTACAGCAACAGTACTGAACTCATACCATTAACCGGCACAAGACAAAGTCCAAAACTTTGCCCTGTGGGTTGCTATGGTACTAGATAGGTTAGATTTTCACCCAGACTAGAGGATTTCACAAAATCTTGATACTGAAGAATCCATTATCCACCATCTCCAATCAAACAAAAAAAATCTATTTTAAGAGTATTTCTCATACAAATTTAAAATATTTTTTTATTTTCTTCTTTCTGAATACGGACCTTAAGTCCTTCTATCAGCATCGCTTTGATTTCTTACTTTTTAAAATCATATTAACAACCTCTACCACAAATAAGTACTTACCTCATGCTTAATTTGTAATATAAAATTATAAATAAAATACTTACGGACTGATTTGTAAATTATTGTACTCCTGTGGATTGGTCAAATTAATTTGCAAGAAACCAAACTGCAGATCATTGTTAATGTTATTGCGGTTGATATAATTTTGTGGCGAAATAATATAATGACCATTATTCGTAGTGCCAGCTTCAATAATATCAATATACTCCAGTTGAGGACTGAAAATAAGAGAGAATGCAATTAAATTAATAAACCACAGAATATGCTGAAAATTGGACAAGGACTTATGCACATTTGTATATATATATTAAAGAAGGATTTACATACACATAAATATATGTATATACATATGTACATTAGGGCGGCCCCAAATGTTCTCGAAGAAAATTCAAATTAATTTTAATTCATTTAAAGATTCATACCATTTCTCAACAATTTTGTTCTGACAACAATATGAAAAAAAGCCTTAAAATATGACATTTTTATCCTTTGACTCAGCTCACTAAATACACGCAGAGAAAAATCATGGTTCAAAATATTCACCATAAATATGCTATGTTTTTGATAACGATATATTGTTGTTCAGTTTAGTTTTTAAACAAAATTTTTTACAGAATACTTGCTATCATATTATGGTAATTTTGGATCATAATATGATTACATATGACAATGTTATGATTAATAGGAAAATATTATGATGAAATATTACATTTGTATTTAATCATAATATTATATTTTACAATAGTAATAATAATCATAATATGTTTAGTCTATAACCGCTAATATAATCATAATATGTTGCTCTTAGATTATGGTTACCACAACCATGTTTTTTTCACTGCAATGACAAAAATTTGGAGAAACAATATCTTAAAATTAAAAAAAGTTTCATTTTCTGTGGGAACATCAGTCCATATTTCTTCTCTATATAAACGGGATCACCCTAATATTCATGTGTACACATATCGCTCAATTATTTGTAAACCGCTTTGAATATTTCATGTAATTTTTTTTCTTCAGAAAATAAAAAATATTTTTTTCCAAATTATCATTAAATTCCAGAAATTTTTAAAATAACATTAAGCTGATACTTCATAGAGTACCCAGTTCAGAAAAGAACATAAATTTGACTTATGACACTTTTAAAGTTATTAAGCAATATACGCACTTGAATATGTGTTATTAATGCACTTAAGCAGTTTAAGCAGAAATATTAATTACTAAACTTACTGAATAGTAGTTTCGCGGTAACCCCACAACGATATCATTATATTGGCATTTAAATTTGAGGTTAAATTATAAGCATTCCAATTGATGCGTATCTCCTTGGGTGATTTCTTATGAACATCATCGGTTTCAAAGAATATTTTCTCAGTAGCAGCTTCTGGGGTTTCTGTGTACGTTGCGCAGAACGAAAAATAAAGGAAATAAAAATATAAATTTTATTAATGGTATTTTATTAACATTTTACTAAGTATTTAGTATTAATGTTGTTGTTGTTTTTTCCCTTCAGCTGGGTTCTGTTTTTAAATGTTTATTACTATGTTATTTTATTATTATGTATATATTTTTTTATTAGTGTTTTCACTTACCCACAAAATATTTGCCACGCCATTTGAAACGTTCATTGCCCACAGATATTTCGAAACGTATATAACCTTCTGCCTTAAGGAAAGGTTGTACACAAATTACACGATTCTTATCCACATATTTGCCCAAAACATCCTCTGTATCGAAATGACACATAACACGTACATTGGGATCAAAACAAGGGCCAGTAATGTTTACCACTGTACCACCCAACATATTGCCAGACTCAGGTGCAAAGGTCAAAGGTAAATGAGAAGCATCTAGATGTTGCAGTTATTATTATAAGGCCAACCAGGCAAAAAATAAAAGACAGATTATTTAGTATTATTTTTCTCTTTATTGCCCTTTATTTTTTTTATATTTTTTTACTTATACAATTTTTTTCTTTCTTTCCTCTAACATTTACTTACCAATATCTTTGTTACACGAGCCAATTAGAATTCTTTCGTCAATGCGGAAAATATGTCGTCCTGGAAAACCGTTGGCCCAACCCCTGCCCGTTAAATCACGCAACACCATATTTTGACTGTAGGGTTTGTATTCGTACGATTGTGTACCGTTGCCAGCATTAAAACCAATCTGTTGAGTAAATATAATTAAATAAAATTAATATGATTGCCTCAAACTAAGTTAGTGTATGTTTTTGTTATACACTAACTCAAACGCAAAAAAACTGAAATTTTAATAAATTGAGGTTTTTATGTTTTAATCTCTAACACATCCATAAATCCATGCGATGTTATTTAATTTTTTCTTTTTTTCTGTAGCTTAGCAGGCTACCTTTTTCTGCCCATTTATTTAATATATTATATTCAGTAAAATTTTTATATATACATTTTTTTAATTTTTTATATAAAACCACAAATTTGCATAAATTGTTGGTGTTATAACAGTCATTGGGGGTATAAAAGTGTATATAAATATCTATGGATGTTAATGAAATATTTATTTTAAAAGATTTGAAATTAATGCTTAGAAAGGTTTATGTTATGATGTGTATGTTTTTAGTGAAGCCATTTTTAGAAGTCCTTTTATCATAATTATTTCTTGAATTTTGTTCATACATCAGTGGCGCCGAAACTCTTACTGTCCCACTTTCATTTGTGTTGGTAAAGATGTCTAGTCTAGTCTATAGTATAGCCTATAGTCTAGTCTATAGTATGACCTATAGTCTATTCTATAGTCTAGTTTATAGTCTATAGTCTAGTCTATAGTCTAGTCTATAGTCTAGTCTATAGTCTAGTCTATAGTCTAGTCTATAGTCTAGTCTATAGTCTAGTCTATAGTCTAGTCTATAGTCTAGTCTATAGTCTAGTCTATAGTCTAGTCTATAGTCTAGTCTATAGTCTAGTCTATAGTCTAGTCTATAGTCTAGTCTATAGTCTAGTCTATAGTCTAGTCTATAATCTAATCTATAGTCTAGTCTATAGTCTAGTCTATAGTCTAGTCTATAGTCTAGTCTATAGTCTAGTCTATAGTCTAATCTGCAGTCTAGTCTATAGACTAGTCTATAGACTAGTCTATAGTCTAGTGTATAGTCTAGTCTATAGTCTAGTCTATAGTCTAGTCTATAGTCTAGTCTATAGTCTAGTCTATAGTCTAGTCTATAGTCTAGTCTATACTCTAGTCTATAGTCTAGTCTATAGTCTAGTCTATAGTCTAGTCTATAGTCTAGTCTATAGTCTAGTCTATAGTCTAGTCTATAGTCTAGTCTATAGTCTAGTCTATAGTCTAGTCTATAGTCTAGTCTATAGTCTAGTCTATAGTCTAGTCTATAGTCTAGTCTATAGTCTAGTCTATAGTCTAGTCTATAGTCTAGTCTATAGTCTAGTCTATAGTCTAGTCTATAGTCTAGTCTATAGTCTAGTCTATAGTCTAGTCTATAGTCTAGTCTATAGTCTAGTCTATAGTCTAGTCTATAGTCTAGTCTATAGTCTAGTCTATAGTCTAGTCTATAGTCTAGTCTATAGTCTAGTCTAGTCTAGTCTAGTCTAGTCTAGTCTAGTCTAGTCTATAGTCTAGTCTATAGTCTAGTCTATAGTCTAGTCTATAGTCTAGTCTATAGTCTAGTCTATAGTCTAGTCTATAGTCTAGTCTATAGTCTAGTCTATAGTCTAGTCTATAGTCTAGTCTATAGTCTAGTCTATAGTCTAGTCTATAGTCTAGTCTATAGTCTAGTCTATAGTCTAGTCTATAGTCTAGTCTATAGTCTAGTCTATAGTCTAGTCTATAGTCTAGTCTATAGTCTAGTCTATAGTCTAGTCTATAGTCTAGTCTATAGTCTAGTCTATAGTCTAGTCTATAGTCTAGTCTATAGTCTAGTCTATAGTCTAGTCTATAGTCTAGTCTATAGTCTAGTCTATAGTCTAGTCTATAGTCTAGTCTATAGTCTAGTCTATAGTCTAGTCTATAGTCTAGTCTATAGTCTAGTCTATAGTCTAGTCTATAGTCTAGTCTATAGTCTAGTCTATAGTCTAGTCTATAGTCTAGTCTATAGTCTAGTCTAGTCTATAGTCTAGTCTAGTCTAGTCTATAGTCTAGTCTATAGTCTAGTCTATAGTCTAGTCTATAGTCTAGTCTATAGTCTAGTCTATAGTCTAGTCTATAGTCTAGTCTATAGTCTAGTCTATAGTCTAGTCTATTATATTCTAGTTGAATATTTAAACCGCTTGGCATATCAAAAGTATAAACACTATTTTTAAAAAAATGACCTTTTGGAAATTTAAAGTATTTTCTAGTTCGCCGTG